AAAAATAGAAAACAGTAGAGGGCCTAGAGAGCTGCCCTGCAATACACCACACGTTACATGTTTGACATTAGAGAAGCTTCCATTAAAAGACAACCTCTGAGTTCTATTAGATAGATTGCCATATCATGGATTCAGAGGTTGAAAAGCCATAACACATACGTTTTCTCAACAACAGGTTATAGTCAATAATATTAAAGACTGCACTGAAATCTAACAGTGCAGCTCCCACAATCTTCTTATTATGAATGCATTTTAAACAATCATCAGTCATTTGTGTCAGTGCAGTACATGTTGAGTGCCCTTCTATATAAGCATGCTGAAATTGTTAATTTGTTTACAGAGAAATAGCATTATATTTGGTAAAACACAATATTTTCCAACAGTTTGCTAAGAGCTGGCAGTAAGCTGATAGGTCTGCTGTTAGAACCAGTAAAGGCCGCTTTACCACTCTTGGGTAGTGGAATTACTTTGGCTTCCCTCCAGGCCTGAGGACAAAGATATTCCTCTAGGCTCAGATTAAATATATGACAGATAGGAGTGGCTATAGTCAGCTACCATCCTCAGTAGCTTTCCATCTAAGTTGTCAATGCCAGGAGGTTTGCCATTATTGATCGATAACAATAATTTCTCCACCTCTCCCACACTAACTTTACAAAATTCAAACTTGCAATGCTTTTCTTTCATTATTCGTTTTTTTATGCATGAATAGGATGGCTCACTGTTCATTGTTGGCATTTCCTGCCTAAGTTTGGCCACTTTTCCTATGAAGTATTCATTAAAATAACGGCAACATCAAATGGTTTTGTGATTAATAAGCCATCTGATTCGATGAAAGATGGAGTTGAATTAGTCTTTCTGCCCATAATTTCATTTAAAGTACTCCAAAGTTTTTTTACATCATTCTTTATACACTACATGACCAAAAGTATGTGGACACCTGCTCGTCGAACATATCATTCCAAAATCATTGGCATTAATATGGAGTTGGTCCTCCCTTTGCTGCTATAACAGCCTCCACTCTTCTTGGAAGGCTTTCCACTAGATGTTGGGGGACTTGCTGCGGGGACTTGCTTCCATTCAGTCAGAAGAGCATTAGTGAGGTCAGGCACCAATTCATCCTAAAGGTGTTCGATGGGGTTGAGGTCAGGGCTCTGTACAGGCCAGTCAAGTTCTTCCACACCGATCTCGACAAACCATTTCTGTATGGACCTCACTTTGTGCACAGGGGCATTGTCATGCTGAAACAGGAAAGGGCCTTCCCCATATCGTTGCCACAAAGTTGGAACACAGAATCGCGTAGAATGTCATTGTATGCTGTAGCATTAAGAGTTACCTTCACTGGAACTAAGGGGCCTAGCCCAAACCATGAAAACAGCCCCAGACCATTATTCCTCCTCCACCAAACTTTACAGTTGGCAATATGCGTTAGGGCAGGTAGCGTTCTCCTGGCATCTGCCAAACACAGATTTGTCCGTCGGACTGCCAGATGGTGAAGCGTGATTCACCACTCCAGCCGACGCTTGGCATTGCGCATGGTGATCTTAGGCTTGTGTGCGGCTGCTCGGCCATGGAAACCCATTTTATGAAGCTCCAGATTAACCGTTCTTATGCTGACGTTGCTTCCAGAGGCAGTTTGGAACTCGGTAACGAGTGTTGCAACAGAGGACACTCGATTTTATACACCTGTCAGCAACGGGTGTGGCTGAAACAGCCAAATCCATTAATTTGAAGGAGTGTCCACATACTTTTGTATATATAGTATGTCATTGATCTTGGCTTCATAATACAGTTTCTTCTTCTTTTTGTTGAGTTTAGTCACATCATTTCTTAATTTGCAGTAAGTCAGCCAGTCAGATGTGCAGCCAGACTTATTAGACACTCCTTTTGCCCCATCTCTTCCTCAATCCATGGAGTCTTAACAGTTCTAACAGTCAGTTTCTTAACAGGTGCATGTTTATCAATAATTGGAAGAAGCAATTTCATAAATTCATCAAGTGCAGCGTTTGGATGGTTCTTATTAATCACATCAGCCCAACAAATATTTTTAATATCATCCAAACAATCAACGTTGTTTCCACGTCATTTCAATGAAATGATGTTGAACCACGGTGGGTGCATCAGAGATGACTACTACTTAACCTGTATACCTGATGACGCTGTCAGAGAGTAGTAGACTCGACTTAGCCTTTATCTGGTGGCTGTATCCTGACCTCTTTTGAAAGGTTGCACACATCTTTCCAATCATAGCTCAGCTGAACCTGAAATTTGGGTATGCAAATTACCTACCTCAAAGAGAGAGGAAAGGCTCTGGTGTACTTTATGCCTGATAAAGCTTTCAAGACCTAATTTGGTGTGCTTGATTAATTAAGTTTTATTTTTACTTTATAATTTGAGCATTTTCATTTGAACTTCATTTCAACCTAATGTGCACATTGTTTATTGTTATTTTGTTTATGTAAGTTATTCAATCAAAAAGTTTTGATGCCTTTTAAAATGTCAGATATATGATTATGGTAGAATGTCAATATATTATATTAGGTGGCAAAGACTTTGGCATCATTATGTTCGGTTCAGTATAGCCTATGTTGTAGTTAGTCTTATGATGACCCTGTAGAGATTATGGTGGAAACTGTTGCTGTTAACTGGCCATTATATGCAAAATTAGCAAATAGTAATGAACTGATCTTGCTATGAATAGTTATTATTTTTGTAATGTTGACAACATTGGCTAAGAAAAGTGTGCCCTTTATTTGGAATAGGCTACAGCTCAGTTTGGTCTCCTCTATTGTGGAAAAACCTTGAAACCTGCATGCTGACTCAAACTCAAAGAATAACAACTGAATACATTTTTGAGGCGTTTGGCTTTTCTTCCAGATTTGTCTTGACCATGTCTTATGTGAGCACCCTTGGTGTTATGTGCCACTGTAAACTTGTGGTTAGCCAAACTATTATTAGAACTGTGGAGTGATGACTGTTTCAAATTGTTTGCACTGTGTGGTGGTAAAATTAGCAAATAGTAATGAACTGATCTTGCTATTCTAGCTATTTTGGAAGTGGTGGCCAGTAGGGTGGTGGGCCAACCTCAGCCCAAGGCCAGGGTCTTGCTTAGTGTTGCAGTGTTTCACTGTGAAGTCCCATCTATTTGTTATTATTTCTCAATTGTGCCTTAAATACACATGAGTTCTCCATTACTTCCCTGAGACAACGTTTTCATTGAGGGAGACACTGAGGTTTGCCTGGTTAGGTCAGTGGAGGGATGTGGGCTCAAGGCCCCAGACCTTGCAGTGTGTCAAAATAGCTCAGCATTCAAACCTGTGGTCTTGGTGTAAAATAACATCAGCAATCATCATAAAAGCTTGCATATATCAAAACTCTACTGCAATATGTTTTGACATCTGCAAGACCTGAATCAAATGACTGGAGGGAAAATAAAGTGTTATTAAAAACCTCAATTACATCACCAATACTAAAGTCCCCCACTCCCCCATAGTCACGTTTATATTTAAATCATGGTCATGGAATTTATAGGAAATTATATATGTGTGTGTTCTGTGTTTAATTTGAGCCTGCTGGTAGGTGGTCCGATGGCTTATAAAAGTACAGTGGAAAAAACTAAAACCTAAGACCGATTTCACTCTCAAAACACTCCCAGGACATGTGGTCATTGATTTTGAAAAACGTGAAGCATCATGCTACTCTCTCTACCCAGACATTTCTCTCAATCCAAAATCAGTTGAAAAAATACAAAGTCGACTCTCTAATTATGAGATCCGAATAACGGGCCATTTTGAAGGCACATAAAAATAATGTCGTCATAGCCTCTGATGTTTCTTTGTAACTTTGATTACATGAATGAGAAAATAATAGATTTTATAGCAAAGAGAACACAGTTTTAGTTTGATCCTTAACTAGTTATTAGTGGTGAGTGTGGGGAAGATGTTTTCAATAATATAAAATATAAGCGTTGCCAGAAATTGGCTTCTGCCAGGGATCTGTGGGGAGAGGGTACTACACTCACACTATCGGAGGGCTAGGGTTTCTGGACCATTTGGTATAGCTAACAATTAAGAATCATTTTGTTCTAAAATGGTACTGCTGCCCGTATGTATCAATGAACATGAGGTCCCTTGACATCTATCTATGGTTTGTTCTGTTCGCCAAAGCAACAATTCCTTGTGAGTTGAAGGCATTTTGCAAACTTGCTTAAAGTGTACAAACAGCAACTTTACCGCACAGTACGCACACCCAGGGGGTGAGGAAGAAAGATTTTACAAGAGGGTGGAAATAAGAGAGGTTAGCAGAACTGCTAACTGCTTGACTCTGCTCTTCCACTGTGGTAAACTAGACTCAGTCTTAAGTGGTGTACCATAGTATCTTTGTTTTTTCCCAAGGGATCCAGAACTCTGCACCATTGTCACTGTTGTTTTCTTGATTTTGCATGACATTTCCACAAATAAGATCCATATTGAAACCACTTTAACAGAACAGATGCGCATTTATGTTGAAGTGTGTGAGTGCTGCGGTGAGATCATAAACGTTCAATAAATAGCGCATTTAGGCCTATGCCACTCCTATGGATCATTAGAAACATGCCTGCATAGGCCTACTTAGTTATTTCATGACTGCAACATTGCAAGTCTCCTTTTCATGCAGAGGAAGCAATATAGACTAACAAACATGTCTTTCTTGTGAGGTGGACATAAACAGTGGAAGCAGATTCATGCCAAAACAAATTAAACTAAAAACATTGACATTTCCTACATACCCACCAATTAACAGGCTACTGGGGCCATCTTTCTCTACATGCTATTTATGATCATGACATTAGGTTCAAATTCATTTGTGTATCCTTTTCAGGGGACAACACAATCTAAAAACAGCTTGGTGCCTTGGAATATAACAAAGAAGCCTACAGAGATTTAAAGTTGGAGCCAAGGCAGTGAACAGTCAAACTCACTAGGCTTAAATGTCACCACTGCTTTGGCTCTATTCCTGCAGATGGTTACTGCTCGCCAGAATGGGATGGCATTGTTTGTTGGCCTGAGGGGTCTCCTGGAAAGCTGGTGTCCACTGCCTGTCCAGAGTACATCTACGACTTCAACCATAAAGGTAAGACTGGCCCTGGGTAGCCTGCAGTTCAACAGTTCTCTTGCACTGAGCTCATTTTCAATTTTACGTGAAATGTATGCACGCATGACTGTAAGTCGCTTTGGATAAAAGCGTCTCCAAAATGTCATATATTATAGGTCATGGTGCTCACATTAGTATAATAGTATAACAGCCTCTTGTATCTGCTTTAATCTGTAAGACAGCATTGGACATTGCTTTTGAATAAATGTCTATAGCTACATCGATGCAACAAGATTTGATATTTTAAAACTTGAGTACTTCATCTTACAAGGCTGTTACACTGGAAATAATAAGTTGAAATGTCCATGATTTCCGATGTGATAACATTCTACCAAACATCTAACTTACTATTCACTTTGTTTCCTAGAAAATGGCAACAGCATGTAAATTTTTTTTATAAATGTGCATGTTTTGCTTTTCACATTGCTGATTTATTCTAGGAAATTGTCACGTACAGTATATCTTAGTATCCTAGTATACAACAGCAATATGCACTTACAGGTGAAAAGAAACGACATGTGCATTGTGTCATTCTGTTGTATTCTATGTGTTGTATTCTACAGGACTAGCCTATCGCCGCTGTGACAACAATGGGACGTGGGCACTGACCACCACCAACAACAAGACATGGGCCAACTACAGCGAATGTGCAAAATTCCTCTCACACTATAACCAAAATAATGAGAAGGTGACAGTCATGTCCATCCTAGCATGCATTTCTTTTTTTTCATTAGACAATGGCAACTTTGTCAGAGACGTGACACAATAGCAGTGGACAGGGACAATGGCCATTGTGTGTCATTTCTGATAAAAGTGTGACATTTCAGTCTATTTCAATCTATTCTATTGTTTTAGATGGCATTAGCATACGCAATCAATGTGGAGGTATTGGAATGTGTATGATATTGGACGTGTGATTTGATTGGTCAGAAACTAGGCCCTTTTTACTGCTGTAGGCTATGCCGCTTTTCATTTCTGTCACACATCAGATGGAGCTGTAGGGGGCTTTGTGTGTAAGTATACTGCAGGGGCTAGCTAGCTAACGCTCTCTGAGAGCTCAATCATTCTCTAACCTCACATGTCTGTAACTTATTGAGCCTCTACAGTGTTCATTGTCTGTCTGCCATCCCCATTGTTGGACATGTTTACGTTCTGCTTTTTCTGATGCCTCTACTCATTTGCAGGAAACCTAACAATAACAAAATATAATTAGAAGATCAACATAAAAACTCAGTTTACCATTTAGATGAAGAGTGTCGCCAAATGGAACAAAAGACGTGTCCCCTCAGAAATGTGAGGCAGACATGCCCATTCTTTACTATTGACTTATTTCCCCCTTGGAGATTATGTGAACAATGCTTGGAATGATTATACTTGTGTTTGGACCAAATAATCTTTTGATAGATTAAGTGAAGCGTTACCTCCGTTGAACCCCTTCTTACAATCTGATATGATTCCTGTATTGATATGTTAGGCTTCTTCCTCTGACTTAAATGGATTGGAGCTGAATTGGATATCAGAATAAAGGCTATATGACCGGCACATCTCTCCAAAAATGAGTGCTGTAGCCAGTATTTCAAGGAAAAGATTCAACATGTGGAAAAATTGATGTTTTAAACACTTTAAAGTAACTTTAATCATAGAAAGATTGCTGATACTGTTACGTCTTTACTTTGCTTTATTCCTTTGTCATCACAGAGGTAATTCCAATTCCATTCATTCAATTATATTTCCTCGGCCCTCAACCGTCATTTGAGGTGCTCATTGATCAAATGGATGACCTGTTACACTCAGTTCTGGGCCAATGGACAGCAAGGTTGGGCTCAATTTGAATTGAAGGCAGTAAAGTCAGGAAGCAAATAAAAATTATAATTCAATAATCGAAAAAAATTGCATTTATTTTCAATGACTTCTCAATAAACTGAAAAGTAGAAGCTATTTCAAAAGTTTAGACATATCTGAATTTTAAATTCAAATCACTTCCTGAATTGACTGCCTTCAATTCGAATTGAGCCCAACCCTGGTGGTCAGCAGGTTGGCATGGGTTACAGGTTGTCTGCTCCGTCACTGGGCCATGATAAGGAGGCAGTAAGTAATCAGCCCCTTAATGACGAGTTGAGGGCACTAAGCAGGAAATCTGTGAACCGCTATTTCCCACTCTTTACCTGAGCAAGGTTATTTAGCGGTTAGCTCCAGCCAAGGTTCAGAAGAGGTCATCCTGAGTACTGAAGGTTGGATGGTGATGGGATCTGCTCAGCTGACAAGAACAGGGCCATAGAGCACAGGGAAAGTGGACCAACTGATTGGACAAACACTGCATTCAGATGAACGAACAGCAAAGATTCTGCCTGCGATTTCTACTGACCATAATTTTTTAGTCCCAATGGGATCTGTTTTCTCCTCAGTGCTGCTCAATGCTGTGTTTTAGCCTGTTAACCCCAGCATTCAGTCTGGTTTAACCAAGCGATCTGCTTTTGGGCTTACTTCCATAATAACGTGCATCAAAGACCGCTTACTGCACCCCAAAATATCTGGCTTCATATGAATATTAAGCCAAACTTTTCTGGTCTCTCCCCACAAGTGCATTCTTCTCTCCTCCTTTTAAATGTAGGTTTCAACATTACGGTTGTGGGCGGAGGAGGTCATGGGGATCCCTCCATCCACATTTTGAGTAGAGGGCCCCTGATTTATTTCTTCTTCTTAGACTTCAAATGTTTATGTTGATGGTCTCCCGGTCCCAGGACTCATAGAAGCAGCAGCTATAGTTAATGAAAAATGCATACGCACCAAATTAAACCCTTCAGCCGCGCACCACAACTTAGGAACCCTTGGGTTTGGCACTGGGTCCCCATCCCTAAATGATAGCAGCAGTGGAGTAGGCTCTGGTTACAGCAGGCCCCAGAGGAGCCCCTCCGTTAGGCTGTGTTGATCCAGCAACCACGGGTAGCTAGCTAGAGGCCAGACCTGGATTCAAATAGTATTTCAAATACTTTGAGAGTTTGATTGAGTCCTGCCTGAAGTGCCAGGTGAACAGGATTTATTTTAGCCAGACAAGCTCAATCAAGTGCAGCTAAAGTATTTGAAATAAAACAAATCCTATTTGAACCCAGGTGTTCTAGCGTCTCACCTCTCCAGCGATATGTCCTCTGGTTGCCTGCTCTGTGCTGTAATCTCCTGCTGGAAGCCCCAGCATGCACCACACTTCACTCAGGGCTTTTGTCAGTGCGGCACATCTCTCAAGCCAAATATTCTGTTTATTAGAAACCTCCATCTCAGTCTGTTGCCTGTTGCCTCAGGGCAGCCTATTGCCTGGTGGGTCTCAGTCCTCTGGTGGGCAGCTCATTGTCAGAAGTAACGCACCACATTATATTCAGAAACTAATCAGAGGCCTGGATTGGTCGCACGCCATGAAATGACCTTTGACCTTGGAATGGCCGCACACCATCACAGCACCTTCTTTGAGCTTTGAGATTCATGATGTTTTGTTTTTGGTCCGCAGTAGTTTTTTGTGTTGCAATGTGTAGCCTGCAACTGTGAGTCATTTTTGTCAGGAGTAACATTATCCTCAGTGCCTCTGTAAATGTTAAACAGTGATGCACAGAGACACTATGATAGCTTTCAGCAGATTTATGGGGACAATATTGTGTAATTGGAATGTCCTGAGTCAATTACTTATATATTGTAAAACAATCAATGTAGCACACCAGGCACATACTAATCATGGACTTATCAAACATCTATCACTTCCTCAACCAGGCTACTGTAAGTACGCTGACACCTCTGAGTAGACAGTTCACTCCTGACCTGCCACCTGATATGACTAACAATATCTCTCCTTCATATGTTCTTGTCTCTCTTGTCCCAGCAGGAGGTGTTTGACAGAGGGCTACTCCGTCTCTCTAACATTTGTCCTTCATATGACCTTGTCTGTCTCAACAGGAAGTATTTGACCGTCTGTACCTCATCTACACAGTGGGCTACTCCATCTCTCTGGGATCACTTATGGTGGCTGTGATCATCCTGGGATATTTCCGGTGAGTAGTACTTGTTGTCGTTGGGAAAATTCCTTCCTCAGTCAATATTTTATCTCCCACTAAATCTCCCATCAAATGTTTTGTGTGGTAAAACAAAGAGACAAAGCATGCAAAATGTGTTTATATCATGTTTTACATTTGCCTTTTCCATGAGCGTTTGACTTTTAAAAGGATTAGAGGTGGCTGCCTTTGAGGTTGTTGCCTTGTAGCCAGTGTGTGATTGTGATACGTGCCTCGTCTTGCTGGCATTTACAGTATATTCTTTGTTATTTTCATACTTATTAATCTCAGACCTCAGAGATCCATAGGAAAGCCGTGGTTAGTGTGTATTGTTATTATGTTTACTTGGTGGTATGTTTACATGAAGACATCAGTAATATATTGGTGTGCAGTTTCAGCCTAATTAATTAAAATTCTGTCATGTCCGGGCAGAAACCTTTAAGGCAGGCTGAAAGAGAAATAGATTGGCAAATTAATTCTGACAGTCAATTTGATATGTAGTGAATTTGGTTGGGTTTTCTAGGGACAGATCCTTAGTTCTTATTATTGCCTTAGCCAAAAAACGAATTACTCAAATTCAGCAGCTTGAACACTAATCCTTGCACACAAGATCAAATTTGTTTGACATTTTACATTGAATCATTTCATTTTTCTTTTGGATGATTAATGCAAGGAAACCTCCCCATTATTTGCTCATTTTTGTTTAGCGGAGGGAGAGTGTCAAGTCCAGGAATTGGTGTAAAGTTGTGTTTACAAACATTCCACTCAACGTGACTTAGAGCCTAACCCAGGCTTCTCAGAAGGGAGTAAATGTTTTAAGAGAGAGAGACCCTAAACTGGCACCAGGAAATCTACAGGCCAAATTAGTTTAATCACACGTCTCAGGGGTCCCCGAGGGTCTGGGCTGACGTCCCAGCAGCGCGTTCAGGAGCACTCCAGCTACGTCTCCCTCTTCCCTTTAACATGTCAGGCTTTTAAAACCCTCAGACACAAGAGAGGCAGGTTCATAAATGTTTTCTGGAGAGAGACCGAGGGATACATACTGCACATTAGCAGTGGTGTTTTCTCTCTTCCACATGATGCACTGGGGAACTGTTCACAAATTAGTTTCCCTCACAACTTCACAAATCAAAATACCCCAAATGAGAGCTTGTCCAATAGCTTAATAGCCAGTTTAGAGGCGGCAGGTAGCTTAGTGGTTAAGAGAGTTGGGCCAGTAACCAAAAGGTCGCTGATTGGAATCCCCAAGCCAACTAGGTGAAAAATCTGTCGATGTACCCTTGAACAAGGCACTTAACCCTAATTGCTCCTTTAAGTCGGTTTGGATAAGAGCGTCTGCTAAATGACTAAAATTTTGTAATGGGTTTGACTGCAGAGGTTAGACACAAGCAAATAATGAGGGAATAATGATTCATTAGTTTTCTGCGGTTACTTGTTATATATACACTCACTGCTTGCCAGAGTAATACACTGTAGGCCTAAACTTATATAGGGCTGGGAATTGCCAGGGACCTCACAATACGATATTATCACGATACTTAGGTGCCGATACAATATATATTGTTATTCTCACGACTCTCACAATTCTATGTGTATTGCGATTCAATACTGCAATTTTATTGCGATTTGATGTTCCAAACATATTGCTCACTATATGTCTGCTGCAGAGAGACAAGAGAGAACATGAGGAAATTAGTTCTGATCGGTCATGGAAATATGAAAACATGATGGCTGGATGGAGAACAAGCTATTGGATGAAAAATACCGGAGTTTTGGTGCAGGTATAGCCAACTAGCGCTAGCTAACGCTACCTAGCAATCAATACTTGGAGTCAAAGTATCGATAAAATATTGTCCAAAATAATATTGCGATATGTAACTGTATAGATTTGTTCCCCCATCACTACACTGATAAGGGTTTTTAGAATATTCTTAGCCAAATTGGCTCATGATCAATAATAATGTTATATTTATACAGTGAGGGAAAAAAGTATTTGATCCCCTGCTGATTTTGTGAGTTTGTCCACTGACAAAGACATGATAAGTCTATAATTTTAATGGTAGGTTTATTTGAACAGTGAGAGACAGAATAACAACAACAAAATCCAGAAAAATGCATGTCAAAAATGTTATAAATTGATTTGCATTTTAATGAGGGAAATAAGTATGTGACCCCTTTGCAAAACATGACTTAGTACTTGGTGGCAAAACCCTTGTTGGCAATCACAGAGGTCAGACGTTTCTTGTAGTTGGCCACCAGGTTTGCACACATCTCAGGAGGGATTTTGTCCCACTCCTCTTTGCAACTCGAACCTTCAGCTCCCTCCACAGATATTCTATGGGATTAATGTCTGGAGACTGGTTAGGCCACTCCTGGACCTTAATGTCCTTCTTCTTGAGCCACTCCTTTGTTGCCTTGGTCGTGTGTTTTGGGTCATTGTCATGCTGGAATACCCATCCATGACCCATTTTCAATGCCCTGGCTGAGGGAAGGAGGTTCTCACCCAAGATTTGACGGTACATGGCCCCGTCCATCGTCCCTTTGATGCGGTGAAGTTGTCCTGTCCCCTTAGCAGAAAAACACCCCCAAAGCATAATGCTCCCACCTCCATGTTTGACGGTGGGGATGGTGTTCTTGGGGTCATAGGCAGCATTCCTCGTCCTCCAAACACGGCGAGTTGAGTTGATGGCAAAGAGCTCGATTTTGGTCTCATCTGACCACAACACTTTACCCAGTTCTCCTCTGAATCATTCAGATGTTCATTGGCAAACTTCAGATGGGCCTGTATATGTGCTTTCTTGAGCAGGGGGACCTTGTGGGCGCTGCAGGATTTCAGTCCTTCACGGCGTAGTGTGTTACCAATTGTTTTCTTGGTGACTATGGTCCCAGCTGCCTTGAGATCATTGACAAGATCCTCCCGTGTAGTTCTGGGCTGATTCCTCACCGTTCTCATGATCATTGCAACTCCACGAGGTGATATCTTGCATGGAGCCCCAGGCCGAGGGAGATTGACAGTTCTTTTGTGTTTCTTCCATTTGCGAATAATCGCACCAACTGTTGTCACCTTCTCACCAAGCTGCTTGGCGATGGTCTTGTAGCCCATTCCAGCCTTGTGTAGGTCTACAATCTTGTCCCTGACATCCTTGGAGAGCTTTTTGGTCTTGGCCATGGTGGAGAGTTTGGAATCTGAAAGATTTCTGGCTCCCAGGTGTCTTTTATACAGGTAACAAACTGAGATTAGGAATACTCCCTTTAAGAGTGTGCTCCTAATCTCAGCTCATTACCTGTATAAAAGACACCTGGGAGCCAGAAATCTTTCTTATTGAGAGGGGGTCAAATACTTATTTCCCTCATTAAAATGCAAATCAATTTATAACATTTTTGACATTCGTTTTTCTGGATTTTTTTGTTGTTATTCTGTCTCTCACTGTTCAAATAAACCTACCATTAAAATTATAGACTGACCATGTCTTTGTCAGTGGGCAAACGTACAAAATCAGCAGGGGATCAAATACTTTTTTCCCTCACTGTATTTATATTGGGTGTGTCAGAAATGCTTGGATTTACATGAAAGCAAATGTCAGAATATAGATAACCGTTTCTAGTTTGGTATATTCTGTCTGTCTATCGACAACACAACACAAGCCGTCTCCAACTTCATCAAATGCTCCCTTCGATGTTGGCAAGGGATGTTTTGAGGATAATGTGACAGATAACCTTTTGCTTGTCTGGGAGGAAATTCACATGCTCTTGGATCTGCTCAACACATGCTTGCAATTTTGTTTTTACAGCTCACTTTGAGCCCTGCAATTCAATATTTGTGCTTTTCAAGCCCCTAAATCTCAAGAATGTGTTATAGTCAGCGCGGAATTCAGCTGGCTCTAATTAGGATGAGTATTGTTCTGAAGAGTGTGAAAACACAAACATACGTGCACACACGTGCATACACACATATACACACACGTACGTGTGCACGCACACCCACACACGCACACACATCACACACACGTACATACAAACTTACTCACTGTGGAAAACTCTCCCCCCTCCACACACTTACCACCTTGATAATATTTAAACATGGGTTCCTAGTGTATTAACGGCTTAGTAGCATCAGATTGTCAGAAGTTTTGCAGAAGGATTAATGTATTTTTCAATGATTGTCTTTGGTTTGAGTAAGCCAATAGTATGACCTAGTATTACCACAACACGACTATTGCTTATTACTGTGAAGATTATATCATCTTTTATATGATATTTATCTCCTCCTCTCCACTCATCCAGGCGGTTGCATTGTACCAGGAACTACATCCACATGCACCTGTTTGTGTCCTTCATGCTGCGAGGCATCAGCATCTTCATAAAGGATGTGGTGCTATACTCTGGTTCTGCAATAGAGGACATGGAAAGAGTCAGTGTGGAAGATCTCAAGTCCATCACTGAGGCTCCTCCAGCTAACAAAACCCAGTTTGTAAGTACCTAACCTTGTCCCCAGACTATAGGAAGTTTAGTGCATGAGAATAGTAAGTATCAGGCTAAGGTAGTTCAGTTATTGACCAAGGCACCTGTGTAATTATTTACGTAGAACATGTTTTCATTAATACTTGTTGTTTACAATGTCTATAACTTTGTTATTGTGAAATGTCTGTTCTAAATTGGTTGGATCGTTGTAAAAGGCCATCCTCTAAGGACATAGTGATCAATGTAATCCAGGGACTATTGGAAATGAGTTGCTAAAGTCATTCCAGCATTCAGTACATATGACTCTTCATGCTTTTTATTATGATTATTATTTTTTCATTACTGTCTCTCGCAGCATTTCTAAATAAGCACAATCAATGCTATTGGTAGACTTGCCACAAAGGAAGTCTGATTATAAAACTGGATAAGAGAGAGGGAGTAGGAGAAAATTCTAAGTGGATAAGTCTCTCTTGGCTCGCGTGTATTATCCCTAGTTAGAGTGCGCAAGCCTGGCCTCCACAATCACCCGACCTCAACACAATTGAGATGGTTTGGGATGAGTTGGACCGCAGAGTGAGGAAAAAGCAGCCAACAAGTGCTCAGCATATATAGGAACTCCTTCAAGACTGTTGGAAAAGCATTTCTCATGAAGCTGGTTGAGAGAATGCCAAGAGTGTGCAAAGCTGTCATCAAGGCAAAGGGTGGCTACTTTGAAGAATCTCAAATATAAAATATATTTTGATTTGTTTAACACTTTTTTGGTTACTACATGATTCCATATGTGTTATTTCATAGTTTGGATGTCTTCACTATTATTCTACAATGTAGAAAATAGTAAAAATAAAGAAAAACCCTGGAATGAGTAGGTGTGTCCAAACTTTTGACTGGTACTGTACATCAAAGTATCTTGGTTGAGGATTAGGACCAATAGCATCAATTAATAAGGCTGATGGAACAGATCAGAATGTTTAGCTTAAAATGTCGATAAACTATTATTTATTCATATTTTAAGCGCAGCAATGTGCACACGGCGGAAGGCCTATGCGTAAATGTTCCAAAATGTAATTTGCGGGAAAACACAGTTCTAAAATGCGCACCGCACCTCCGAGCAGTTTCATGGACAGAGATGGAAATTTAGAAAGAGGGGAGATCTAAAGATGCAACAACTATTTTGGGTTGCGAATATGACTAGGATAATATCTTTGGCTGCTAGACAATGAAAGAAAGTTGATTTGAAAACCAGTAGAACAGGAGATATAACACGTTTCTATGGTGGGATTTTGGCTATAGGCTACTTTGAAGCAAGGTAAGACATGCCTCATAATATGAAGTAAAACGTCCAGGTTTCATACAATTAAGGAACAGGAGAAATATAGTGACGCTAATGATAGGCTTAACCATCTTCTGGTAGATGGAAAGGCTTTCCCAAAAACCTTCTCAATTAAATGTTAACAAAGTAGCCTATTCCTACCTGGCAGAATGATATCATGATTATTTACATCAATCCATTTGCCATTTGTTTTGCAAACTCCATCTCATGTGCACTACAGAAACACTGCTAACAAAAAAAGAGCTAGGTCCCTGCAAAGTGAAATTAAAGAGTACAGTGGCTTGCGAAAGTTGACATTTTTCCTATTTTGTTGCCTTACAACCTGGAATTAAAATGGATTTTTTGGGGGGGTTATATCATTTGATTTACACAACATGCCTACCACTTTGAAGATGCAAAATATGTTTTATTGTGAAACAAACAAGAAATAATACAAAAAAACAGAAAACGTGCATAACTAGTCACCCCCCCAATACTTTGTAGAGCCACCTTTTGCAGCAATTACAGCTGCAAGTATCTCTATAAGCTTGGCACATCTAGCCACTGGGATTTCTGCCCATTCTTCAAGGCAAAACTGCTCCAGCTCCTTCAAGTTGGATGGGTTCTGATGGTGTACAGCAATCTTTAAGTCATACCACAGATTGTCAATTGGATTGAGGTCTGGGCTTTGACTAGGCCATTCCAAGACATTTAAATGTTTCTCCTCAAACCACTCAAGTGTTGCTTTAGCAGTATGCTTAGGGTCATTGTCCTGCTGGAAGGTGATCCTCCGTCCCAGTCTCAAATTTCTGGAAGACTGAAACAGGTTTCCCTCAATCATTTCCCTGTATTTAGCGCCATCCATCATTCCTTCAATTCTGACCAGTTTCCCAGTCACTGCCGATGAAAAACATCCCCACAGCATGATGCTGCCACCACCATGCTGATGGTGTTCTCGGGTGATGAGAGGTGTTGGGTTTGCACCAGACGTAGCGTTTTCCTTGATGGCCAAAAAGCTCAATTTTAGTCTCATCTGACCAGAGTAGCTTCTTCCATATGTTTGGGGAGTCTCCCACATGCCTTTTGGCGAACACCAAACGTGTTTGCTTATTTTTTTCTTTAAGCAATGGCTTTTTTCTGGCCACTCTTCCATAAAGCCCTGCTCTGTGGAGTGTACGGCTTAAAGTGGTCCTATGGACAGATACTTCAATCTCCTCTGTGGAGCTTTGCAGCTCCTTCAGGGTTATCTTTGGTCTCTTTGTTGCCTCTCTGATTAATGCCCTCCTTGCCTGGTCCTTGAGTTTTGGTGGGCGGCCCTCTCTTGGCAGGTTTGTTGTGGTGCCATATTCTTTCCATTTTTTTATGATGGATTGAAAAGTGCTCCGTGGGATGTTCAAAGTTTCTGATATTTTTTTATAACGCAACCCTGATCTGTACTTCTCCACAACTTTGTCCCTGACCTGTTTGGAGAGCTCCTTGGTCTTCATGGTACCGCTTGCTTGGTGGTGCCCCTTGCTTAGTGGTGTTGCAGACTCTGAGGCCTTTCAGAACAAGTGTATATATACTGAGATCATGTGACAGATCATGTGACACTTAGATTGCACGCAGGTGGACTTTTTTTAACTAATTATGTGACTGCTGAAGGTAATTGGTTGCACCAGATCTTATTTAGGGGCTTCATAGCAAAGGGGGTGAATACATACGCATGCACCACTTTTCCGTTATTTATTTCTTATAATTTTTTGAAACAAGTTATTTTTTTTCATTTCACCAATTTGGACTATTTTGTGTATGTCCATTACATGAAATCCAAATAAAAATTCCATTTAAATTACAGGTTGTAATGCAACAAAAAAGGAAAAACGCCAAGGGGGATGAATACTTTTGCAAGGCACTGTAACTACACTCAAATATCAACATTTCTTAGATTTTTCCCAGACCTCAAAAATTGTCTCTCGATGTGGTTTAAGCATTGTTGTGGACTTAGAACATCCAATTTGGTTGTTTTTCTATTAAATAAGTGTGACTCAAAAACCTGAAAACATTTTTTTAAAAGTGAAACCTGTGAATTTCTGACTCAGTTGACAGACTAATTTATCTGTTTCAATAGTAGGCCTACGATTAGCCTACTTGCACCGTACAGCTTGGGTTGGCCTGACTGTGAAAGACCAATATAGGATTGATAATTTTAGGTCATTCAGAGTGTATGTCACTGTTTGTCATAGAATTTAGAATTGTTCACACAGGAATCTTTTCCTTCACCGGGCAGGCCGTTTGGAAAGAAAGTGTCAAAATTAGAGTATACCCACTTCTCCAGGCACCACTACACCACTGAGTAGGACAGACAGAGGCATAGAGGTTGGCTTCCCTTGGGGCATACACAGGCTAAACTACCAGGAATTCCCTGTTGTTTATATTTTATCAACCTCTCCAGGTTTGTGTAACACACAGTATTCATTGGATTAGAATAAATCTTTCATTTTACAAACCATGCTTGGAACCTAGAGATTTCATCCTGGAGAGGCTTGGATTTTGGTTTACTCACTGCAAAGTGATTTCACATTTGTCAATGTACACACTACCCTTAGAGTTGCTGTATGTCACAACTATATAACAGTGCAAAGCAAGAATGGATTATAAAGATTCAAAATGTATGGCTTCCGGTCACTACAAGAAGAACCAAGGCATTATGTGTTGATTTTGTGATTAACAGGTGTTAGAAAACATTAGTCATACATCTACAAGTGCTTGTTACCATGAAATAGCCTATTGTATTTCAGGGTACTTAGTAAATTCATTATATTAGATGTATTTGTCTGTTGTGTTTCCTTTAGATTGGCTGTAAATTAGCAGTGACCCTGTTCCTGTATTTCCTGGCCACCAACTACTACTGGATCCTAGTAGAGGGTTTGTACCTCCACAGCCTCATCTTCATGACCTTCTTCTCAGACAGGAAGTACCTCTGGGGATTCACTTTGATTGGATGGGGTATGTGATGTCATAGAAAACACGTTTTTACTGCAGATGCACTGCTGATAATGAAATTAATGAGCTAAATGAACCCCTTTAAAAAACAAATATTAATCAATTCATTTGAAAAGCATTTCCTATGTCATAATGTTTCGTATAATGTTTGTCAGACAGCTGATTTTTGATTGATCAACAATTATCAACTTTTCAATGGTTTCACACATACGGTGTGAATACTGTTATAAGCAGAACTCAAGAATAGTTCAGAGAACTAGGCTCTACGGCTCCTGCATTGTACACACTGTGCGTAACTGTTATGTAAGCACAGCGCATACAATGTGGATGCTGTGTCGCCCAATTGCCTCACTATATTAACAGGGTAATCTTGACTTGAACCCACTATAATAATTTGAAGAAAATTACTGTATTTTGTATTTAATCATTATTTGTGTGATTGTAGATAATTATGATCTGTTCTGCAGGGGTCTCAGCTGTTAAGTTGTTTTGAGATCTATCTTGATGTTCATTGTTGTTATTGTTGATTTGCAGGGGTCCCAGCTATGTTTGTGACAGTGTGGGCAAGTGTGAGAGCCACCTTGGCAGACACAGAGTAAGTATTGCGCTATAATCCCAATTTGTCATCATTGATGTTGGCTCTGAACACAAAGTACTGTACATTTGCCAGAATCTTTCATGGGAATGTGAGACAGAACCTTAGAACGTGTTCAAGAATCCCCTTAGATTCATAGAATGTTTAAAGGCAGCGTGTATGTCTTTAATTTAATCGAAACCCGCATTGCAGTATTTACACAGTATTACCTATTTCCCCATGGTTATATAAAATCACAGAATGACTTTGAGTACTGTAGAAACGTAATACTACTAGCCTATCACGTAGACTCCACTCAAAGGTAGATTCTGCCAGTTTTCAGAATAAGAATTGTGTGTGCGCAGGCAGTAGTTGCATAAACATTGCCATGGCAGGTTGGATTGAATTCCAGCCAAGAACTCAGAGCATAGGACCAGTCTGTAAGGGTTGCCAACTTCCCCATGTGTTGTTGTTACACTAGGATAAACAGAAAGATTAGTTCCTGAAACCAATTAGTTACACAATCATACGTATCTGTATTAGTTTTTCATAAATGCCCTGTTTATCAATTACAGGTGCTGGGACCTAAGTGCAGGCAATCTGAAATGGATCGTACAAGTGCCCATTCTAACAGCAATAGTGGTAAGTAAACATGTCAATTGAAAATGTAAATTGCATAATGGCATTTAACATTTTCAATTGACACGTTTAATTAGCACAATTACTGACCACTATTACCACTATCTGCTTTTTGAGAGAGTTGGTAGTTGAGATATTTGGCTTTGGTGTGCTACATTGTGTCATTGTCTGTTATCAAAGGTGAATTTTATGCTGTTCCTGAATATAATCCGAGTTCTGGCCACTAAACTTCGAGAGACAAATGCTGGCAGATGTGACACAAGACAGCAGTACAGGTAAGAAGCCATACTCTGACTGTTCCTTCCCTGACTGCTTTATCATGACATGTATCACTCAAGCCCAGCTCAGTTAATCCCTACCATTGTGTCGCTGAGTTGTCATAATGATTCAGCAAATCTACATTATCCCAGGGGTGCTGGTAGACACAATGTAAGTAACCTAATGTACATGGCATTCGGAAAGTATTCAGACCCCTTCCCTTTTTCCAAATTTTGTTACGTTACAGACTTATTATAAAATTGACAAAATTAGTTTTTTTCCTCATCATTCTACACACAATACCCCACAATGACGAAGCGAAAACAGGTTTTTATCAATTTTTGCAAATGTATTAAACACAGAAATACCTTATTTACATAAGTATTCAGACCCTTTGCTATGAGACTCGAAATTTAGCTCAGGTGCATCCTGTTTCCAGTGATCGTCCTTGAGATATTTCTACAACTTGATTGGAGTCCACCTGTGGTAAATTGAATTGATTGGACATGATTTGGAAAGGCACACACCTGTCTATGTAAGGTCCCAAAGTTGACAGTGCATGTCAGAGCAAAAACCAAGCCATGAGGTCGAAGGAAATGTCCGTAGAGCTCCGAGACAGGATTGTGTTGAGGCACAGATCTGGGGAAGGGTACCGAAAAATATCTGCAGCATTGAACGTCCCCAAGAACACAGTGGCCTCCATCATTCTTAAATGGAAGAAGTTTGGAAACACCAAGACTTATCCTAGAGCTGGCCGCCCAGCCAAACTGAGCAATCGGGGTAGAAGGGCCTTGGTCAGGATGGTGACCAAGAACCCGATGGTCACTCTGACAGAGCTCCAGAGTTCCTCTGTGGAGATGGGATAACCTTCCAGAAGGACAACCATCTCTGCACCACTCCACCAATCAGGCCTTTATGGTAGAGTGGCCAGGCGGAAGCCACTCCTCAGTAAAAGGCACATGACAGCCAGCTTGGAGTTTGCCAAAAGGCACCTAAAGGACTCTCAGACCATGAAAAACAAGATTCTCTGGTCTGATGAAACCAGGATTGAACTCTTTGGCCAGAATTCCAAGCGTCACGTCTGGAGGAAACTTGGCACCATTCCTACGGTGAAGCATGGATGGTGGCAGCATCATGGTGTGGGGTGTTTTTCAGTGGCAGGGACTGGGAGACAAGTCAGGATCAAGAGAAAGATGAACGGAGCAAAGTACAGAGAGATCCTTGATGAAAACCCGCTCCAGAGCGCTCAGGAACCCAGACTTGGGTGAAAGTTCACCTTCCAACAGTACAACGACCCTAAGCACACAGCCAAGACAACGCAGGAGTGGGGACAAGTCTCTGAATGTCCTTGAGTGGCCCAGCCAGAGCCCGGACTTGAACCCGATCAAACATCTCTGGAGAGACCTGAAAATAGCTGTGCAGCGACGCTCCCCATCCATCCTGACAGAGCTTGAGAGGATCTGCAGAGAAGAATGGGAGAAACTCCCCAAATACACGCTGTTCCAAGCTTGTAGTGTCATACCCAAGAAGACTTGAGGCTGTAAACTCTGCCAAAGGTGCTTCAACAAAGTACTGCGTAAAGGGTCTGAATACTTACGTAAATGTGCTATTTCCATTTATTTTTATTTTATACATTTGCACAAATAAGATTATTTTATTTTTTTGCTTTGTCATTATGGGGTATTGTGTGTAGATTGATGAGGGGGAAAAAACAGTTTAACCTCTTAAGGATCGGACCCTTTTATAAAATGTTCGCCTAAAATGACATACCCAAATCTAACTGCCTGTAGCTCAGGACCTGAAGCAAGGATATGCATATTCTTGATACCATTTGAAAGGAAACACTTTCAAGTCTGTGGAAATGTGAAACTAATGTAGGAGAATATAACACATTAGATCTGGTAAAAGATAATACAAACAAAGAAACTTTTTTTGGTTCCATCATCTTTCAAATGCAAGAGAAAGGCCACAATATAATATTGCAGTTTAGGCGCAATTTAGAATTAGTAGTGTGTGTGCAAAGTTTCAGATTGATCCAATATTGGACTATTTTGTATCACGTCTGCCCAAATGTGCCGAATTGGTCAATTAATACATTTTCAAGTACATAACTATAGAGAACATACAAACATGATATGGTAATACAAAATGTACGTTTACACACTCCCAGGAATGTCATACATGATGGATCATTAGCTTATACACTAACTTTCACACATCTAGATGGCAGGGCGGGGTGGGTGTGGAGCCAGAGACAGCAGGGGTTCAAACTGTAGAACCCAGTTCCTACATTTGAATATAAAAATGGATTTTATCAAACAAAACTATGCTACATTTTATTTCAGGATGACAAATCAGAACAATATTACTGAACGTAAGTACATTATTTACCTTCAGAGGTGAATGTATCAAACCATAAGACTCCTGAACAGCTAATCATGGCTACCCGGACTATTTGCACTGCCCCCCCCCCCCACCCCATCCTTTTACGCTGCTGCTACTCTGTTAATTATTTATGCATAGTCACTTTAACTCTGCCCACATGTACATATTACTTCAACTACCTCAACTAGCCGGTGCCCCCGCACATTGATTCTGCACCGGTACATCCCTGTATATATAGCCTCCCTACTGTTATTTTATTTTACTTCTGCTCTTTTTTTCTCAACACATTTTTTGTTGTTGTTTTATTTTTACTTTTTTGTTAAAAATAAATGCACTGTTGGTTAAGGGCTGTAAGTAAGCATTTCACTGTAATGTCTGCACCTGTTGTATTCGGCGCATGTGGCCAATAAAATTTGATTTGATTTGATAAGTTTTTTGTTGTTGTGCACTCTCCTCAAACAATAGCATAGTATTATTTCACTGTAATAGCTACTGTAAATTGGACAGTGCAGTTAGATTAACAAGAATGTAAGCTTTCTGCCCATATACAGTGGGGGGGGGAAAAGTATTTAGTCAGCCACCAATTGTGCAAGTTCTCCCACTTAAAAAGATGAGAGAGGCCTGTAATTTTCATCATAGGTACACGTCAACTATGACAGACAAATTGAGATTTTTTTTCTCCAGAAAATCACATTGTAGGATTTTTAATGAATTTATTTGCAAATTATGGTGGAAAATAAGTATTTGGTCACCTACAAACAAGCAAGATGTCTGGCTCTCACAGACCTGTAACTTCTTCTTTAAGAGGCTCCTCTGTCCTCCACTCGTTACCTGTATTAATGGCACCTGTTTGAACTTGTTATCAGTATAAAAGACACCTGTCCACAACCTCAAACAGTCACACTCCAAACTCCACTATGGCCAAGACCAAAGAGCTGTCAATGGACACCAGAAACAAAATTGTAGACCTGCACCAGGCTGGGAAGACTGAATCTGCAATAGGTAAGCAGCTTGGTTTGAAGAAATCAACTGTGGGAGCAATTATTAGGAAATGGAAGACATACAAGACCACTGATAATCTCCCTCGATCTGGGGCTCCACGCAAGATCTCACCCCGTGGGGTCAAAATGATCACAAGAACGGTGAGCAAAAATCCCAGAACCACACGGGGGGACCTAGTGAATGACCTGCAGAGAGCTGGGACCAAACTAACAAAGCCTACCATCAGTAACACACTACGTCACCAGGGACTCAAACCCTGCAGTGCCAGACGTGTCCCCCTGCTTAAGCCAGTACATGTCCAGGCCCGTCTGAAGTTTGCTAGAGTGCATTTGGATGATCCAGAAGAGGATTGGGAGAATGTCATATGGTCAGATGAAACCAAAATATAAATTTTTGGTAAAAACTCAACTCATCGTGTTTGGAGGACAAAGAATGCTGAGTTGCATCCAAAGAACATCATATCTACTGTGAAGCATGGGGGTGGAAACATCATGCTTTGGGGCTGTTTTTCTGCAAAGGGACCAGGACGACTGATCCGTGTAAAGGAAAGAAAGAATGGGGCCATGTATCGTGAGATTTTGAGTGAAAACCTCCTTCCATCAGCAAGGGCATTGAAGATGAAACGTGGCTGGGTCTTTCAGCATGACAATGATCCCAAACACACCGCCCGGGCAACGAAGGAGTGGCTTCGTAAGAAGCATTTCAAGGTCCTGGAGTGGCCTAGCCAGTCTCCAGATCTCAACCCCATAGAAAATCTTTGGAGGGAGTTGAAAGTCCGTGTTGCCCAGAGACAGCCCCAAAACATCACTGCTCTAGAGGAGATCTGCATGGAGGAATGGGCCAAAATACCAGCAACAGTGTGTGAAAACCTTGTGAAGACTTAGAGAAAACGTTTGACCTGTGTCATTGCCAACAAAGGGTATATAACAAAGTATTGAGAAACTTTTGTTATTGACCAAATACTTATTTTCCACCATAATTTGCAAATAAATTCATTAAAAATCCTACAATGTGATTTTCTGGAAAAATTTTTTCTCGTTTTGTCTGTCATAGTTGACGTGTACCTATGATGAAAATTACAGGCCTCTCTCATCTTTTTAAGTGGGAGAACTTGCACAATTGGTGGCTGACTAAATACTTTTTTCCCCACTGTAAGACATGTCCCAGTCCTGGAAAGTTTGCTGTTACGTACAACAGTCATGCTAATCACATTAGCGTACATTAGCTCAACCGTCCCGTAAACGGGACACCGATCCCGTAGAGGATAATCCATTTTAGTATAAGGCTGTAACGTAACATAATGTGGAAAAAGTAAAGAGGTCTGAATACTTTCCGAATGCACTGTATGTCCCTTTAACTGCCCTGAATGCCTCTGCTGATCCTTCAGCTATTGTATGCAGCTATCATGTGCCTATGAACCAGAGTTATATTGTTAGCACTGAGGCGGTGTGCCCTAGTAGGAAGTCCACTGTGTGCAGCTCACCCTGCACTAACATAAATAACACGAGCATGTCTGCTTCTGCTAAGCTTCCCAGTAAAGCAATGACAAAAATCAAGCATCCCAGAAAAGTGCTAAAAATGTGTTTACATATGTAGCTTAAGAAACAAGGTTCATTAAATAAATAATT